AAGTTTCAGCATAAATTCAAAAATTATTCGGTTCAGTACAGTCAAAAACGGCAACAGATAAAGTACGTATCCGACACTGCATTCTTTATGAATTCCAACGAGGAAAGAATGCTGCGAGAGCATGCGAATCGATTTGTTCCTTTCTCGGCGAAAATATATTGTATCGTACGATGTGTTTGTGCGCATTTTGGTTTAGACGGTTTAGAAGCAGCGATTTCAGTCTGAGTGACAAAGAATGTCCTAGAGCCCCTCCGAAAGTGCGGCAACAATGATTTGGAACAACTGCTCGCTGAGAATTCAGCACAAACGCAAAAAGAGCTTGCAGAGCAGTTAAGAATAACGCAACAAACTATTTCCAACGTCCACGCGAGATGGGGAAGATTCAGAAAGAAGGAAAATGGGTTCCGCATGAAGTCACTGAAGCCAACAAAAATCAACGATAATGTGTCTTTCTCTTCTCAATAAGCAACGTAGAAAGTCTTCCTTGTGGAAAATTGTTACGGGCGATGAGAAGTGGATACTCTATGACATTCCGAAACACAGAAAGTCATGAGTGAATCCCGGCGAATCATCAACATCGGTCGCAAAGCCAAAACACTTTGGAAAGAAGATTCTGCTCTGCATTTGGTGGGATACGAAGGGCGTGATTTGTGATGAGCTATTAAAATCGAATGAAACAATTACTGCGGACCGCTACCAACACCAGTTAATAAATTTAAGTCAAGAATTAGGACGAAAACGCTCGTATAGTGGCAAAGGAGAATGTCCTGTGAAATTGTTGCACGATAGGCCACACATTGCTTCTACGACAAAAGACATCATAATGAGTCTTGGCTGGGATATTTTGCAGCATCTGGCGTATCCCCAGACGTCGCTCTTCTACCGATTACACTTGTTCCGGTCGATGCAACACTTGCCTTGTCCGATACGCACTTGAAATCAGTGGATGAGATTCGAAAATGGCTCGAGGACTCTCTTTATCGTGTCCAAAGGCACAACATTTCTCCGACGAATGGAATTCATCAGTTGCCTGAAAGATGGCTTAAAGTTATTGAAAAACAACGGCGAATACTCTGATTGACAAATTTGTTTTACTTTCTCTTAAAATGAACCTTGAATTTAGCTGAAAATTTTGAATTACATTCGTTGTACGCCTAATATTGAATATTGCTATCCAAGCATCCATTCCACGTAAAAGTCCACGTAGACACTTGGACTCTGGCGGATCGCCAGTATTCATTAACAACAATCCGCGACTCCGGGAATACGAAGAGGGAGAAGAAGAAGAAGAAGAAGAAGAAGAAGAAGAAGAAAGAAAAGAGCGCGCCGATACAAGGTAGAAGGAACAATTAAGGAGGAACTTAAAGAATACTAGGACTTGGAGCTATCTTGATATAACGAGCGAACTCGTAAGAAAGTAGCGCTTCATATAATCAATTAGAACTTGAGAACGAGTGAGATGGTAATGGAGTTGGGCTAAGTACAAACTGGAGCAAACTAGCGTCGAGTCGAACGAACGTATCAACCTCCGCCGGCTCATCTCCGCCGCCGTTATAAATCCGTCGAGTCGCGACTGCGTGTGTGCGATACTCGGGTCGCCGTCCGCTGCGCGTCTTTTGTTTCCTCAAGATGTGAACGCCTCTGTGTTTCCTGCGGCGATGATAATGAAAGAGAAAAAAAGGGTGATGCACGCGCAACCGCGGTCGGGGCGAGCGGGAGGAGTACGAGCGGAGAAAATCGATGGGAAATGGGTCGTATCGAGGCCCGCGCGACTATCGATGCGTAATAAAGCATCTTATCGGCCGTTTACTCGACTCCGCCGTCGGTTCTCCCCGTCGTTTCTCTCCACTGTGGATGCGAATGATTTCATCATTCGCAGTCAGAATAATCGCTCTCGACCGTACTTCCGTTCTCCTCTCTCCTTGCCCCTTCTCGGAATTGGCCATTATCCCACTCGCCATAAATCCGAAAGGTGACGGAGGAATCTATCGCGAAGTGGTCAGCGTAATCTCTGTTATCTTAAGCAGACCCTTCGGTTATAGTGGAACCTTGCTGCTTGCGCAAGAATCCGCCTCGGACTCGGCTCTCTCTCTCTCTCTCTCTCTCTCTCTCTCTCTCTCTCTCTCTCTCTCTCTCATTCCCCCTGACGTTGACGGAGTATTGTTGCTCCACGAGCAAGATTTCCTCCGGGTCCACTTCCTGCCGGAGCACGTTAGAGGCGGCAGATACGCGGTGAAAAAAAGGACGAGGTTCTAATGAAATGTCAACTCGGTGTTTGTCTTCCGCGGACATTGTTTGAATGGCCGCGTGTTCGATCAACCGTGCGATACGAGAAGCGACGTGATGTACGGCACGAAGTACGGCTTCCGGTGCACCGCCTCGGCCGAGCGCGGAGTAGTATTCCGCGTGTACTCTGCGTATCTCGCGTACTCTCGGCGCGAGCGTCTCTCGCACGAGTCGCGCCGAATTTGGAAGATAAATGCCAACGGTGACACCTCCCTCGCGCTGTTTTGCTATAATTGAATGATTAATTGCAGCCTCGTTCTCCTGCGCCGCCGAAAGAGAATATTCATCAATGTCTCTCGTATCTATAATTACAGTTCCCGGCTCGGTGATAATGTTCGTGTCGCTAATGGGTTTCGTTCCAATGCATCTTTGAACTATCTGTCAAACGCACCGGAGGACAATGTATCGTTAAATGCGATATTAACAAATCGCACGATAATGATCCGTTATTTCGCGCCACGTTATCGCGGATTATCTTAAGCGCTCGTATCGAGCTGTTAAAACGCGCGAATTTGGCGACGTTTCGATTTATCACGTCCAACGGCTCGTTAATTCGCGAGATAGCCAGCTGCAGCGAATACACAGGGTGTCTCATAACTAATGTTGCAGAGCTCGCGGAGACATAGAGCGGGTTAAGACAAACGTAAAAGTCCCGTGCCGTTTTGCGAGATTCGCAATAATTATGGAATTATTAATGACAGAAATCTGAAGAGTGGGAACGCACTGACGTAGATGATTGGAGAAGCATCGCGTTGTCCTTCTTCTCACCGCGCACCGGCAATAGTTTCTGAATCGACTGGGCCGCGCTGTGGCCTAAGCAGCTGCAACGCTTCTCCAATCATCTATGTCGGCGCGCTCTCGCTCCTCAGATTTCTGTCATTAACCTTTAGAGGGCCGGCATTTGAGATACAAGATTTCCCGAAGAAAATCGAGAAAAAATGTCGATACAAAATTTATATCGTATATTCATCGTATACAAAGTACTGATCACGGAAACCACCACTTAAGTGGTGGTCCCGGCCCCGGGGGGTTGAAGACAATGTTAAAATTTTTCAAATTTGAAAAAAATTTTCGAGGTCGCTGAATAAAATGGAACTGTCAGTTTTTGTAAATTATGAGAATTTATAATTACATCGCGCAAAATATTACGAGAAATGTTCCCTAATATGATAATACTCTCCTTTAGCGTTATCCAGAGCCAACGCTATGGACGTAGAGAGTGTGTAGCTCCTTCTTTTTTTTATTTCTCTTGTTTTTAGTTTTTGAGAATTTTTTTTCTATTTTTTCAATTTTTAGTTTTTTTTTTTTAATTTTCATTTTTTATACTAATTATATGCATCATTTTATAATTATACCTCTAACATTTTTTTTCAACTTTTTAGAAATATTGTTATATTTTGACTCAAGTATTATTTTTCCTATTCAGGTTATAACAACTTATGGCGTGTATGTGTGAGCACGTAATTATTTATTTACATATTTCCGCTAACTCGTGTTTATGAAGAAAAAAATTGCAAATAGGAGGAAGGGGAGAGGGGAGGGGGAGGGCAGGGGATACAAACTTGTATCTGGATATGTGAATATCTATACGCACATAAGTAGGTGAATGTTGAACATGAATCCGACTAACTGTTATCTACCACCACTATAGTGGTTTTTCGGTCCTCTGAAAATTAATAACTCGATAATTATTGCGAATTTCGCAAAACAGTATGGGACATTTTTATGTTTGTCTTAACCCAATCTACCTTCATATTTCGGGTTGGCAGCTAATTACCGGACACCTTGTATAGTCCTCTCGGGATGCCTCTCGGGCAAATTTGCCTAATAAGACACCTGAAAATTATTCATCGGCTTACGAAGCGGAATCCCAACATGTTCCCCGGGAAAGAACCTCATGCCGGAAATCCGTTGATTTCTCGCCATCCCCGCCGCGCGAATTCCCGTTTCTCTCGCAGAGGATCGTGTCCCCGCGATTTCGCGAAATTAATTCGTTAAGAGGCGGGGGGAGGTCCGTCGCTGCGCAGTGATAGACGGGGTTCGTAAATTTTAGAGGTACACCTGGTACTCCAGTAGTAAGACCTATAGCAAGACGGAAGGAAGGAAGGAAGCAAGGAAGGGAGATGAGTACGACGTAAATCCAGCTTCCGGTAGCAGGTCGGCTTTCCTGGCTGGAGTTGATCCTTGAGAACCTCGGTTATTCACTCGCGCGCGGTCTGTCGATAACTTGGACAATCTCACCTACCCGCCGCTTTCTCTTTCGCACTTTTATGTACTCGCTCGTCTTGTCCGCCATCTCGTTTGCCGCCGCCAAGTAGATCTTCGGGGGTGGGCTTCTTCACACATCTTTCAGATCAGCCTTCTCGTTTTACATCGCTTAAATCCAATATCAGGCTGTCGTTTCGTATTTTCCCGGGCGCGGCGGGGCAAGGGGGAGGGGGAGGCTGGATCCGGTTGTGGTGTTCGCCTGCGCCCCGCGCGACCGTCACTTCGCTCTTGCGGTGCCTAAGATAAGAGCGACTCCAGGAGCAAGAGTCGCTTTCATATAACCGTTGAGCAACTTGTTGAGTGGGTAAAATTTCCGTGGCCGAGCTGAAACGCGCGCGCTCGCGAGTTCTCAGCTAACACGGGCCGGGTTAGACCGGGCGCGTAGGTGCGCCGTGCCAGGACGTGGTGGACGTTATTACTGCATTTTCCATCGTTTTATGTTGCAGGTGACTGGCATCGTGGGCAGGGCGGACGTTCTAGCGTGCATCTTCTTTCTATTGTCTTTCCTCGCCTATCACGGGTGAGTACGGTTCGATCACTCAGACCCCGTGGACACGGATGAAAAGCGGATATCCTACAGATGCGACCTGCGTACTCGCGATGAAATCTCCCCCCGTCCGCAGGGCACACAAGACCTGTAAATTTCCCAAGTTGCGCGAAAGAGAGTTCGGGGCTAACTTTGCCGGGGAGGGAAAAAACTCCGCGCCCGCGCTACTTTGCGTATTATGTATTATCTAATGAGTTACGAACTACACACACACACACACACACACACACACGCCGCGTGCCGCGTAAATGTAGAACATCCTCTTATAAAGTGAGAAAACTTAACGGCTGCGCGTACGTCAAGAGTGTCAAGCGACGCTTAAGGTCGCGACGACGCGACAGGCTGACGCCAAAATAGTGAGCCATTCGTTCTCATAACACAGAGGCCGAAAATTATAAACTAAACTAATTTACTGCACGAGTCGCCGCTATATAGCCGACACGAGGAGCGTGCCTCGCGTCGTTGCCATCGATCTTCGTGGTTAAAGCTAAGAAGAAACGCTAAGAAGAAACGCGCATACACACACACGCGCGCGCACATACATACTCTCTCATTGTACATGCATGTAGAACACAATTGCAGCTGTGTTTCTCTCTCTTCGAAGACAGACGTTACTTCTTGGCCCCGTAATGTTCACTTTATACCGGCGCGCGAGCGGCTGCACAAGCCGGTCGCTATCTCTAGGATAAATTTAATTAACCGCGGGGGAACTCTCGGCGAAACAAATCCCACATACCTATGTACTGTTCCGCGCGAGCGAGGCTCTGACACGGCGAAAAATCTGTAAAGACGAGCTGCTCCGTTCGACTGCCGGCGTAAAAAGCTTTCGCGGAGGTCATACTCCGACATAAAAGGACGGTTGCGGAAGACAAGAAGGTAAAACTCCGTCTGTAGGACTAGCGTCGGGCGGCCAATGGCTCCACGGGTCGATGGGGGGTTAGTTGGCGAGGGAAGGGTGGGGTGGAGAGGAGAAAGGTAAGATGCTTGTCTTCGAACCTGGGAAATTGATTACTCTTGGCTGCCTTTGAGCACTCCTTCTCCTTCGTTTCCCTCCGCCTTTACTTCGTCGCCTCGCTCTGTGCTTTTCTTCCTTCGACTCTCATCCACCCCTTCCCCCTTCTCTCCCCTTTGTTTTCGCTTTCCTCTCTTTTATTTCATCTAACCGATGTCCTCTCGACCTCCCTTCGGTTAGCCCCCCCCGCCCCCGCCCCGCGCCCGCGACGTTTACGCTTCGCGTTTAAATCCCCCGGCGATTAAGCGGCCGATGATTAATTCCAATTATACATTTGGCTTACCGTCAAGACTCTCGTCGTCCTCTCGACTCGCGACCGCTTTACCTCCCCCCACGCCGTATCCTTGTTCACTCTGTCTCTCTCTCTCTCTCTCTCTCTCTCCGCCGTTGTGCCGCACGGCGAGTTACTATTAATCTTACTTAGGAGGCTTTGATGTAAATTGTACGAAACACTTCCATTTTGCCGCGGCTCCGCTCCGCCGTTTTTACGAGCGAGCCGCGGCGAAGCCACGGTCTCGTCTCGGCGGACCGTTCCCGTGTCGGTCCCTGTTGTACCGAAAATCCCGACCGACATCTTGTAACGGATCCGTCGCTCGACGTGGATTGATGTGTGCGCGGAGCGACGCGAACGAATAAATCCTGCGTGTCTTCGGATCGATGTCTCCGCCGACGATTGTTTCTCGATACCAACGCGCCGCTCGATCGCAAGGAGCAGAGAAGGATGTCGGGCGAAATTTTTCGCGGGAGACATCTGCGCTCGCGAATAAATGCAGTCTCAACGTCGAGCCGAAAGTTTCGCAGGCGGGATTCCCCGCTAAATTATTCCGCCTGTAGCAACGCTAATCCTCTCCTGTTCATTCCCGCGGCGTAGTTTTCCTGCGCGAGAAGGCTCGGGAAAATCGTTAAGCGAACGCGTGTCACTTCTGCCGTGTAAATCACGCCGTGTATCGCGCGCGTTCTTTTTCGAACAATACCGAGAAATTACGAGGCATCGTAATCGACACGATCGTCAGACGTTCGCGTGCTCGAGTCGCGCTAATCTCGTTAATCCAGCTGTATGTATTGACTGTGCTCCCCCCCTTCCTCCCTTCTGCCCAAGGGCTGTGTAATTGCTATATTTGCGGTGAAAAGCTCGAGATCAAAAAAGCCCTGTCGACTCGCGTGTCTCGAGATCAGGCGCGACATTTACCCCGCCGTTTTATCTCCCCGCGATAATTACCCGAACAAAAGATGGATTATCCTCATGAAGCATAAGGCCCCGATAAGGCTGAAAGTAGGATGCCCTAAGAAAGAATATCTCATTATTATCACATCAGGCCCCAAGATGGATCTTTTAGGGATGTCTTAGATTTTACGAAATAACGCTTTAACATGGAGAACTGATGTGGGCCTTAGAAGGATCTTTTAAGAGGACGCTTTAGATATACAAAATCAACTGTAGTTACAGAAAATTAATAAGATTTGAAGCGTGTAATAAAATTGTGATAGTTTAATATTATTTTAGTAGGTAGATACGCTCTATCTGGTTCTTTTAAAGATTTTTTAATTACACCGTAATTAAAAACAAATTTCATTAGCTTTAGTAATTAAGAACAAATTTTATTAGTTGTCATATTCATTAGTCTCTTCTTCCTGAAATGCACCAACTCTAATAAAAACAGTAGCAAGATTTTTATGTGTAAAGTATGCTATATTTTTAAAATAAAAATTTCTTCTTGTATACTAACAAGGTTATAAAGAAATAAAAAAATTACAGTCTAAATTTCTTGGAATGAAAAGAACGAATATTTTTTACTCAAGCAATAATAAAAATACTTCGACTCGCGATTGCAAGAGTGAATGTCTCACTCAAGCTTAGAATGGATTTTAATTCCATACCTTAATGTTACCCTATAAGGTTAATATTGCCTCATGAAACCCTTGCTAATATTTCTTTTTAAAACCCTCATAATATATATTGCCTTCTAAGAACCCGTTAAATCATTTGTTACACATCTTGCAGGGCCTTTGCGTTTCTATCTCTACTAGGGCCCGATTAATGTTAGAGAAAAATAATCAGGCCCTTAGCAGAGCCTTATCAATTTTTCTATTCGGGTAATTGTGCGATATACACTTTCGGCGAGTAATTTTCGCATTTATTTCTCCCCCCGCAGCCAGCAGACGGCTTACGTATGGTCCAGCGTTTGCCTGGGCGCGCTGTCGATGTTAGCAAAGGAGACCGGCGTTACTGTTCTGGCACTAAACCTTCTTTACGATCTCTGTCGTTCCTGGCATTCAATCAAGAGGTAAGTGTTTAAGCGCCCGGCGTCGGACCGCGGCGCGCCTTACCGCGCGGAAATATATATGGCTCGACGGCTCGTAAAGTAAACTCCTAAATCGAAACGGCTGTCTCGATTTCAGCGACTAACATGCGTTTGAGACCGCGCCGCGCCGCGCCGCGTCAGCGCGCTTGCGAAAAATCGCGCGACGCGAAACGCGAGAGCCGTCCACCGTGTGAGATAACGCGGCTGTGCACGCGCGTCGGCGTTGAAATTACCGTTGAAGTTCCGTGTCGCGTGTCCCAAGGTGGTAGACTGCGGCGTTACCCGCGACGATGGGAGACTCGCTCGAAGATACGACGCGTTCTGGAAATTTCACTGCGCGCGGCCACGCGGGCAGTGCCGCTCTCTCAGATTCTCCGCGGATTCTTCTTTCGCCGCTACTTATTTCGCAGCAGCGTCGTCGTGCCGGTCTCAGCCCGCTCATTTTCGCGCGCCGACGGACGTGTGACGCGGTGACATGCGACAACGACGACAACGACGACCACGACGACGACAACGACAATGACAACGACGACGACGACGACGACGACGACGACGGGAGGAAACGTCTACTAACAGCCCACTCTTTTTATCTTGCAGGTCTATTTTTGAAGCCAAGTGGAACGACGACTCTAGATATTTTTCAAGACGCGCGGCGGCGTTGCTCGTCTCGGTGAGTCTCAACAACGAAATAAATGTGAACTCGTTTGCACACAGATTGACGCGCGACAGCCTTTGTGCGCGCGCGCGGAGTTGTAGCTTCCTAGAGCGCGATCTAGATTTCTCCTGGGGAGCTCTAGAATGGCGCAACTTTATGCATTAAAGCTATTATGCACAATCTATACGCCGTATCTACATACTTGCGGCGGCGCTGACGCGACAATTGATCGCCTTTGATTGCGCTGCACGGTCTGCGCAACGGCAATGCACGCGAAGACACGCACGTCGCGCGGGAGAATATATCGCGGAAAATGTCGTGTCTCAAAGTGGAGGCTCGCCACGTTAAACGCCGCGCGCGAGCGCGCGGATCGCGAGGCTGCTCGCCTCGATATCAACCGTTGAAGGCGATCAAAGATTCCCCCAGGAGAGCGGGGAGGGAGGGGGGAAAGAGCGACTCTATAACGATCTGACGTGCAGACGAGTGGTAGGCAGCGGTCAAAGAGGGTCGGAATCCTCTTAACGCATCATGTACATTCGGTCGTGCGTGGAAGCCCCGCAGGATTTTCAGACGAGCGGCGCGGCGGCGCGGCGGTGGACCCGGCCCGGCTCTGTTATTATTGTATTAACGACAATGTCCGCACTCCTGCCGCCCGGGGAATACGGAATTGTCGCGGGGACCGGCCGCCGCCGATATTTATCCATTTATAGATCCGCGCGCCCTCAACTCGTCACGTAACCGGATCAATGGGGGAGTAAGGCTTCGTCCTCTCGAGCTCGCGCCCGCGAAGCGTAATCGAAGCGTATTGTATCGTATAATATTGACTTATCCTTGATTGCTCCTGCTGGATATGCGCGAGAAAAGGGAAAATTCGGGCGGACTCTCGTGCGTCATGGAGTGATAGGTATTAGCGCTCGCTGTCGGTCTGGGAGAGGGAAAAGGAGAGGGGAGGGGGGAGAGAGAGAGGGAGAGAGAAAAGGATTTTTCACGCGTTAAGAGGACGCGAGATCGTCGCTCTTCTATAATCCGGCGGAATTAGCGGGGGATCTCCCGTTTCGTGTCCGCATCGTTAATTCTTAACGACCGATATTCGTTCGTTTTTATCGCCCGGCCGTAGTCGGACACCGATGTTTACAGCGGCTCGTGTCTTAAGCAAGTTTAACGATCGTTGCCGCAGATACACTCGACGCGGAGAATTTCCCTCCATGGTCACGGAGAATAAATAACGCTCTCTCCTCCCTGCGAATCGCTATGCGGCAAGACAAACTACTGCGGCGTGGGGCGAGTTGCGGGGGATGAAGCAGCAGCAGTTTCTAAAGATCAACAGAATGATGTACGACTCACGTAAACGGAGGGGAGGAGGGGGGAGGGTGGGAATATTGCGAAGGAGTTGCCGGCGTATCCCGAGAGATACGACGCGCGCTGGTCATCTCGTCTGGCAGCCTCGCTGATAATCAGCTTGTTCCTCGCCGATTTCGTCGCAATGACCGTAATCGCACATCCGATCGGCTCTCTTCTCATGCCCCGAGCAAAAAATTGTTAAGACCATCCTCATGAAGCATAAGTCCTTCGATAAAGCTGAAAGTAGGAGACTCTAAAAAGGGATGCCTCATTATTACAATATTAGGCCCCGAGATGGATCTTCTGGGAATGCCTTAGATTTTATGAAATAAGGCTTTAATAAGAAAAGCTGAGAAGGGCCTTAGAGGAGTTTTTTAGGGTTGCTTTAGATTTTACAAAATCATGCTTTAACATGGAAAACTGATGTGAAGCTTGGAAGGATCTTTTAAGAATGCTTTAGATATACAAAATCAAGTTTTGTTACAGAAAATTAATAAGATTTGAAGCGTATAATAACATTGTCATAGTTTAGCATTGTTTCAGTAGATACGCTCTATCTGGTTCTTTTAAAGATTTTTTAATTATCCCACAATTGAAAACTAATTTTATTAGTTTTATTAGTTGCCATATTCATTAGTCTTTTCCAAGGATTTTTTTAGTATTGCTTACGTTTTGAAATGCAATAAACTTTAATGAAAATAGTAGCAGGATTTTTATGTGTAAAGAATGCTATATTTTATCGTAAAGTATGTTATATTTTTGTTATGCTAAATTCTTATTGTATACTAACAAGGTTATGAAGAAATAAAAAAATGACAGTTTAAATTTCACGAAATGAAAAGAACGAATATTTTTACTCAAGCAATAATAAAAATATATTTACTCGCAATTGCAAGAGTGAATGTCTCACTCAAACTTAGAATGGATTTTAATCCATGTCTTAATATTACCCTACGAGGTTTCGTTAATATTGCCTGTTAAAATCCTTGTTAATATTTCCCTATAAAGCCCTCATAATATTGCCTTATAAGGACCAGTCTGAATTTCTCGGAAAAAGGAACGAATACTTTTACTCAAGCAATAATAAAAATATTTTCTTATAAGGCCCTATTAATATATTGCCTTATAAGGCCTCGTTGATATTGTCTTATAAGACCCTCATAATATTGCCTTACAAGGCCCCGTTAAACCATTTGTTACACATCTTGTAATTGCCTTTGTGTTTCTATTTCTACTAGGGACCGATTAATGTTAGGAAAAAATAATCCGGTCCTTACCAGAGCTCTATTAATTTTTCCACTCGGGCCGTCATCTAAGCTTTAGCCGAGGATGGCACCTTTCGATCCAATCCTGCCTGGAAGTGGCGATTCGAGCCGGGAAAGGCGTTAGAAAACGAGGCGCCATTTTCACTGAATTTTGCTTCTCCGAGCGAGCGCGATGACAAGCGGTTTCGGCCGAGCTGTCTCGTGGTGGAGAATGAGACGCGCGCAGTGTTCTTCAGGGCATCTCGAGGAAGACGGTAAATTTCAGCGACCAGGGGATACGGGACGTGAATTTTGTATCTTCGACACGGATCCATCTCTCGGGGTTACACGGACCGATCACGTATTACGGCGCCACGGTGTAACCTCTAAACGGAGTTTACGAGGTGCTATTAAATCCTCGGCGCGCTTCAGCGTCGTCGGCATGTTCATGCCTAAGAAACGCGGGCTCTTGCGGCGCCGGTGCTCATCGTCTTTATTGTCGCGAATTAATTTAGACGACGTTGTACTAAGCGCCCTTGCCGGCGCGGCGCGGCGCGGCGCGAGCGTTCGATAAAGATCGGAGGACGGCGTGTTGAGGTTGAGGTTCGTCGCGTTCGGTGCCGCGGGTGTGTTTGCGCGTCTCTCTCTCTCTCTCTCTCTCTCTCTCTCTCTCGTCGAGAGAAGTATACAGGCGCTCTGTGCACACACGAATCCTATTAAGTAATAGAAAATATATTTATTAATGCGTAAAACATACTGAGCGAGATGCCGCGGCGACACAGAGCGATCTTTTGTGCGGAAATAAATCCAGATTGTAGAACAGTCGCTCTTCAAACAAGGCTTCGTTATCGTGCGAAAATTAGTTCGGAAATTGAAAAATCGATAATATCCTTTTGCGCTGTTTGAAGCTCGCACGATTCGCCCGACTGCTTTGCGCTTTCATGCCCGTATCTCGTGTAACCGAATTCGTTTCGACAGCGATTACCGACGCGCGTGTGTGTAAAAACGACACGAAATATCCCATCGAGAAAAATCAGCGCGATTTCAAATGAATCTAAGGCTCCGCGGGGAATGTCGTGCAAAATCATACAATCATAATCTGTTTTTCCCTTTTTTCACGCGTGCTCCGATAAAAGCCGCCGCCGCCGACTCGCGCTCGCGATCGTATCCGTCGCATACAAACGCACTATAATTTCGCGATATCGATCTCCCGCTCGGCGAGGCAAGTTCCACGCTCGGCGCATTAAAATTCCGTAACGAGCAATTAGGCAGTGAAATCGGTTATGAAATTTCCGCCGGTGTAGGAATTGCCTGCCGCGCAAACGACGCGGGCTACTTTAACGTAGGCCTGTTGTAATACAGGCGTATTATGATGGTGAAGTCATGGCAGCGTGCGCGCTGCCATCGTGTGGGCCGATGCAGGAATAAAGCTTGCGCGTGGAAGGTACTTTAACCGAACGCGATTCTGAGTTATGCTAATTTATGCCGCCGAACGAGGGAGGCGTGCTCGCGCGCGACCTACCCTCGCGCAGTTATCTACATATCCCCGGTCTCTCTTTCCACCCCTGTCGTTTCCGTCACCCCGTAGCACTTACACGCTCTCAGCTACGTCGTTCTCGACGATGCTCCTCGGTCTTCGCAACCGCGAGAGAGACCGCTAATATCGCAGGATAAGTGTTGCTTTGGCCAACGTTACATGTAATCCGTCACATTCGCAGCTTCCATCGCAAATTTGCAAATTAAATCAAGGCACACGAAGCGTTTTTTACCCTCCCGTTATTGAATTATAACTCGTTCCTCTTCGTGTAAAAACGCATCGCACTTGATAAAATAAAATTGAATACCACGAAAGGAAAAATAAATTCGGGTCACTATTTCGCGAATTCGCGTCAATCGAAACGTTTGAAAAATACCGCGGATAATTTGCAGATTAATTCCGAAACGTGCAGATGGGTTTTCATGATGTCCTGATTGATATCGGAAAGGAAAATGAAATAAAAAAAAAAAAAAAAAGTCGCGGCCGATCACGGAACTGATCGCATTGGTGTCGGTGTATCGTCTTTGTGATTCCGCTCGTGTATCGGCAGCGAGGCTAAGTGCTAAAGACGCATCAAACCGCTAACACCCGAAGTGACAAGCCTAATCAATAAGCCAATCCATTAGGTCACGGGCTGTTTACTGTTTGTACATTGCTATGTTCACTGCTGTCTCTGATTGGCTTGGCTCGCTCGGCTCTCTCTCTCTCTCTCTCTCTCTCGTTTGTCTTACATTCCCTTAAGACACCGGCGTGATCACGGGCGCATTAAGTCCCCAGCTGCCGATATGTAGCGCTGACGAGGAGCGATAAGGTGGGAGAGAAAAGAAAAAAGGAAGAGAAAAGAAAAGCACACTACCGCGATTGCTCCGTCCGCGGTCGCCGCGTCGCGCCGCTGAATTTGTCGGCAATCGAGCGTCTAACCGAGTATAAGACAGGTAAACGAACGCGAGCGGTGCGCCCGCAAATTGTAAAAGAATAACGGATGTCAAATAGATAACGGATGCAGCGCGATCCGGGGTATTCGTAACTTCGTCTCTTCGTTACCGCGGTCGGGCGTTGCAGCGCAAAAACCGAAAAAAAGAAGGAAATAAAAAAGCGCGCGATCGGATGTTCATTCACGGTTAAAAGTTTCGACGCGGAGCTGGAAAGGACAGAGAGAGGGAAGAGAAGGGAATAAAACAAGGAGCAAAACGCTACATCGGTATGCGATACGACGTTCCGTGCGCTGATCTGATATTTATCGGAATTGAATTTCCGCCTCGCCTCCGTCGTTCTTCGCGCGGGGGTCAACCTGGGATCATGTGGCGACGTAATACAATATTCCGACTATATCCCCCTCCCTCTCTTCCCCTGCCCGTCTATCGGCGAAGAACAAGGTCGGCATTGGTGTCGGACGTCAGGCTGTACATCGCCGGCGTCTCAATGACGGCGACCGATACATACCGGCGTGTCCGTACGAGGCCGCTTATAGAGCGGACGCGCCACCCTTGTCTGTCGACTTCGATCCGGCAGGATATGAATACTTCGAATTGGCAGATATTGTCCGCTTCCAGAGGCACACTCTCTCACCGCCGTGTCCGTCCGCCGACAAGAATGCGAGCGAGCGAGCGAGCGAGGTCCCGGCGACGCACGTGTAGGTACAAAGGCGGAGAGACAGTGAGAGGGCCAGCGTGCGCGCGCGCGCGCGGCGACGACCCCGGATTACTCCGGAATAAGGGGTTGAGAGTAGTCTATCGGAGGGCTGGTACGGACGTCTATTGGGTTAGCGAGCTCTGCGGAGGACGTGACGGAAATGTGAGGACGGTCCCGTGTCATCCTCTACGCGGACGTGACGACGTCGCGTCGGCGGGGCCGCGGACGTTGGCGAACGCCGGGCGCTTCCGTTCTTTGCTATTCAACCCCGCGCGAGCCGCGTCTTAATTAAACCACTCGGGAAGACGTGACCGGCACGCCCTTTACCATTTCTCGTCGATTAGTAGCGTCATCCTGGGCTGTGTTATTAGCTTTATCGTCTTGTACGTTGTCAGATGTGTGCGGGCGCGCGTGCAGGAAAAGCGAGGAGCCCCGGAGGGAGAGGGAGAGAAAATCGTAGATCGGCGCGACACATGAGAGAAATTCTGACGAGCGCGCCGTCACTCGCCTGGTCTCTCGCGTCATTGGCCCCGCTCTTCGATTTATTCTGCCGTCTCGTGAAATTCCAACGGTCTCGGGCGACTCCTGCGCAAAATTCTTGTACGCCTCTCCGGCGTACGCCGCACGGCGAATCAATGAGACTCGTTTCAAGGGGCTGCTGCTTCAAGTCGCGCCACGGACTTGCCTTCCCCGCAGTCGTTTTATATATCTTGCTTCCCTTTTTCTTGTCGAATGTTGGGGGACTGGCGGCGGCAGGCGAGCGGCAGTCGCGCGGTGGACGCATTTTCGAGCAGATAGAAGACATTTAATTTTCTTGAGGCGTACAAATGAACAATCCAAAATTTTCAGCTTCAATTCAAGGTTTATTTTAAAGGAAAGTAAAACAAATTTGTCAATCGAAGTATTCGCCATTATTTTCTATAACTTTAAGCCAGCTTTCAGGCCAGCTGATGAATTCCATGTCGGAAAAATGTTGTGTCTTTGGACACGATAAAGTCGTCAAGCCATTTTCAAATTTCATCCACTGATTTGAAGTGCATATTGGACAAGGTATGTTGCATCGACCGAAACAAATGATAATCAGTAGAAGGGATGTCTAGTGAATATGCCGGGTGCGACGTCTCAGCCAAGACTCATTATGATGTCTTTTATCGCGGAAGCAATGTGTGGCCTAACGTTATCACGCAACAATTTTACGGGACGTTTTCCTTTGCCGCTATACGGGCGTTTTCTAATTTTTTTATTTTTCTAATTTCTATTTTTCTAATTTTTCGGGCGGGTTCTAATTTTTGACTCAAACGGATTAATTGGTGTTGGTAGCGGTTCATAGTAATTGTTTCATTCGGTTATTAATAGCTCATTAATAAATCACGCCCTTCATATCCCACCCAATGCAGAGCAGAATCTCCTTTCCGAAGTGTTTTGGCTTTGCGACCGATGTTGATGGTTCGCCATGACTTTCTGTGTTTCGGATTGTCATAGAGTATCCATTCATCTCATCGCCCGTAACAATTTTCCACAAGAAAGACTTTCTATATGCTGTTTATTGAGAAAAGAAAGGTACACTGCCACTCGTTGATTTTTGTTGAGTTCATGCGGAATCCATTTTCCTTCTTTCTGAATCTTCCCCATCTTGTGTAGGCGTTTGGAAATAGTTTGTTGCGTTATTCCCAACTGTTCTGCAAGCTCTTTTTGCGTTTGTGCTGAATTCTCAGCAAGCAGTTGTTTCCAAATCGTTGCCGCACTTTCGAGGGCCTCCAGGTCGTTGTTTGTCACTCAGACTGAAATCGCCGCTTTTAAACCGTCTAAATAAAAAATGCATACACATCGTACGATATAACGTCTTCGCTGAGAAAAGAACAAATCGATTCGCATGCTCTTGCAGCATTTTTTCTTTATTGGAATTCGTAAAGAATGCAATGTCGGATATACACCTTATCTGTTGCCATTTTTTACTGAACTGAATAATTTTTGAAGTTATGTTGAGTTTTCCACCGTACTAAATATAATTTTTAATAGCTATATGTCAACACTTGATAATCGTAAAAAAGCGGGAAAATTTGATCATTTGAAACTTAATTTTTGAGCCACTTAAAAAAGTTTGGATTATTCATTTGTACACCTAATATATTATTCACACGCTCACATAGCATATAGCAATATGTGAGCGTGTGTGTGTGTGTGTGTGTGTGTGTGTTTCTAACGGGTACTTGGTATTTTTGTTAGTATAAATCTCTCTGTTATGCGCCGCGATACAGAGAGAAGCGAAAGAATAACAAGAGCTTGCGAATCTGCGTTTAACGTGCTTACGCGGGTAAGCGGTCGTTGATGTTTCCGCCGCCAACGAAAAGTCAAAAAGAGAAATACATCTCGCCGCATATAACAATGTGAAAATTCATGGACCGTTTAATGTTTGCAGTTTGGCATACTTCTTGTGGTGCGGCTCGCTCTGCTCCATGGTACTTTGCCGAACTTCTCCGCGCAGGATAATCCGGCTGCTTTTCATCCCTGTTTCCACGTCAGGTGAGTATCTATATAAATCCTTTATGTTACGCGAGTCGCGACGAGGAATCCTATTACAATGTTTCAAAACTCGCGGCGATTGAGAACGACTGGAAACTTTATACCATTGTCCTTCGTTGGAGGAGTAACGTATCGTGTATACGTGAGATCAAAGTGTTGGATGACAATGGAAACAAGACGACTTTATCCTTTGATCTGATTCAGCCGGGATTCACCTCTCGCCAGCGCTCACGCGCTCTCTCTCTCTCTCTCTCTCTCCCTCTCTCTCTCTCTCTCTCCCTCCCTCCCTCCCTCCCTCCCTCCCTCCCTCCCTCCCTCCCTCCCTCTCTCTCGGCAGTTGAAAACCTTTAAGCGGCGATGTGCTATTACACTTGTTTGTTTTCGCGCCTTCGCGCGAGAAGAATGTTTTCTCAAGGGAGGCCAATCGGGAATTCGCTCGATTATTCTCGCGGGAGGAGGAAAATGATATGAAAGTGTAAAAATAACCGGAGATAATGAAGAACGGACGTGAATGCCTGGTCGGTCGATTCTGCGATCGTAATGAGAATCACGGAGAGGAAGCGGAATTTATACTCGTTACATCTCGCGACGTAATACCGATTTCATGTTAATGAGAGAGATGCGAAGAGGACAGCTAAGGTATCGAAATATCCTTTCATGGAGGGAAAGAGGAAGAGAGAGAGAGAGAGAGAGAGAGAGCATTTCTTTTTTATTTGTTACAAATACTCAAGATAAAGTGTCTTTCTGCATAGCCGGTCCTAGTCGTGCTACATCTCAAAGTTCGGGAGCGCCAGTCGACTCCCGGCCGGAGAAAGATTTTCGATTCGTTCTCGGGTTAAACCGAGAGTCTCGTCCGTCCAACTTTTCCACTCCAATTGCCCGATCGCAACAGATTCGCGCCGCGTCCTGCCGCGCCGATTCGCACTCGCCGAGTCCCGCCGTCAAAGAAGCTGCCGCTGCTCTCGACGACGCAACTTTTCGGTGCAAACTCGGGAAATCTCTCAGCTGATTTCGTCGGAGACCGGAGATGTACACCGCGCGCTCGTTCGCTCGCTGCTCGCAGCTGCTTTAATCCACTCGACGGCGGTCTTTCAGCTCATTTTCTCTCGCCGGCTTTTGAGCGCGTCCGACGCGCGATATAGGCATCGCGAGGCGGGCTTCGCGACTCGACGAGCGTCGACGAAAATTTTTCTAATGTACGATCCGATTTTACGAGCCGCCGGACACGTCCGGTAAATCCGATTCTCCCGCTATCTCCCGTAGTTCAAGGATATCGTATGGCCGGCCGCCGTATCTATTACGTCTCGCAAGGAACGGACGTGTCCTGACGTTTCACGTAGATAGAAAATGGAAATGGTCGCGTGGTGTGATTCTCCCGACGCGTCCTCGCGTAGATCTCGTTTTCACGATGGCACTATGGAACATATATACACACACACACACACACACGACACGCGTATCTCCTGCAGTGATTTATATTTTTAGCGCAGAGCGCAGGGGCGCAGAACGCACCCTTTTCTCGTGCGGCTCCACCTTAATTACGGAGACGCGTTTCTCGAAGCCGTGAGGCTAACAATGTAGCAATCAATCTCTTTACTGTATAGAATTAATTAACGCTAACGTTAACCTTTCGTCATAAAAGCTGCGTTTCCATGGACTTCTCTCTCATACGTGGCGACGCAACTCGACCGTAAGTTTCCCTTTTCCGCTGCAACCGACGAAAGAACGCTAATTAAACATTCTCGTTCTTCCCCTCCCTCCCTCTCTCTCTCTCTCTCTCTCTCTCTCCCTTTCTCTCTTTTGCTGTCGCGTTGCACTTTCGTTTCCCGCCGACACGGAAATTGCGACTCGGAGCACAAAAGCCGCGGTTACCGCTTTTAAACGGAGAGAGAATTTTCGATAATTTTACCATATTGAAATATTGTTTTTGCTCGTACCGTTCTGCCTCCTTTCTCTCCCCCTGCCCCCGCACCCAGCGTTTGCGTGACATACAAGCGTAACGGAGCGTGTGCACGGTCTACTGTTTTCTCCGGCGGCCATATTTATTCGTTTTCGTTTCGTCGCTACAATCGTCGCGACCTCCTCGCCGACAGCTTCGTGCAAACGACCGCGGGGGAGGGGGGGGGAGAGGACAGAAGAGGAGGATATTGCGCGAGAGATGCTTTCGGTTCGGTCGCCGGAGAAACCGGACGGGAATACTTTACGAGATGTATAATTTGGCTGGATGTACCGTCGTTTCGCGGGATTTACGATCGCGCGAGCCTACACAAAAGGACCTCGGCTTTTCTTTCGGGTCCTCCCCGCCGAGCCAACCTCCGTGTCCCTTCGGGATCTCGTTTGGATCTCCTCCCTCCGTTATTCCAGCCGCTCGTCCTCGAAATTCCCTCGGCGTCCGACGCGTCGCGGCGGCACGTGTCCGTCTGGTGACGCCACGACTCGAGCAAATTTGCCGGCAAGATGTCGCACTCTCGCAGGGGGTGCTGAAGCTTTCGCTGGTGTGGTAGACGAGGTGGTGTCGGACGACGTGCTCGCGACGATCGCATGCGCCGATCCGGCCGGCGGACAGCGCTCGGCCGGATCCGCGCGATGCTGCGCGATTAATGCGGTAATTTAAGTTCGAGCTTGTTAAAGCGGCGCGCGTAACTCCGGAGCGAAGCGCTAATCGCCGCTTAAATAGGCCGCCGATATAAATCATGCCGGCGCACGGCCGCTATTAACGCGAGCTCGTTCTACGTTCTGCCGACAACGCGCAATTACGAGTCGTATCGCGCGTGTGCGAGCGGCGGCACCGCCACCGCCGCACCGCCTCAATCTCGTCCCGGCGAAGATTCGCAATTTTAGCCCGCGGCCAACGCAGCGGTAACTCGTTTACCGTCCGCGCGAGCGCGAGCGTTTATCCAATTTTACACACGCGCGGCCAAATGCAGGCCGGAGAACGCGGGCTGAGGCCGAGCGAGCCTGAGGGAGTTCCGCAGGACTCGTCCTCGTCGTCGTCATCGTCGTCGAACGCGCCGGGAAAATATAGAACTTCTCTCTATTACCGCGTCGTATAGCTCGCCGATGAGCCCGTTGCGACGAGCGAGTGAGAGAGAGAGAGAGAGTGAGTGGAAGAGGGAGGTCGCCGGCGGTGAGAGCTTCCGCGGGCCAGGTGCACCCGCGTCGCCGAGAATAGCGAAAAAATACACACTCGTGGTATCAGGTACCGGGCTTCACGGAGTGCGGGAGTAAGTGGAATCGTTAAAGGGTCCTCGCCGGTTACGACAGACTCGCGTATATACGCGGCGCGGTCTTCGCGGTGATTAATTCCACGTCGGCTCCGCCCTGTCGTGTCTCGGTCTATTGCTGTACCCATGTGCAATGATATTATGGGCGTACGCCATAGGCATGTCATTTCCACCGCGCTCTGTGCCGGCTTCGCCCGTAAAATATTAACGCGCCAGGCGCCTCCGGAGGAGGATGGCGACACGACGCGCGCGCGTGGACGAAACTTTCTCGGCCTCTCCGGCGCGAGCGCTCGCGCTCGCGCCGATTTAACCCCTTGACTGGCGGAAACGCAATACTGCGTCCGGAGGCCGGAGCCGCTCCGGACTCCGGCTCGCGATTACTGATATTTCCGGTAAATATTGGCTATTCAAATTGCTTTTTTTCGGTCGCCGTTCGATTCGATGGCGGACTTGCTTGGAAATTCAAACTTAGAGATGGCGCTTGTAATACACATTCACGGCCGAGTTCTCGAATTAAAGAGAATTCAAAGGTTTTGCGAAGGTTTTGTTTTGAGGGGCTTTGCGATAAAAATTCGAAGCGGCGCGTTCTTAAACCAATTTAGACGACCGAAACACAAAGTGTTCCTTACACACACACACACACACACACACACATATTTTATAACTCGTCATTATAAATTATATTTATATTCATTATCTCGGTTCTTCGTTACTTTAGAAATTTCAGATAAAAAAATTTTGTATATTCTCACTATGCAAATTTTTTCAAAATAAATGTGCAGTTTTATCTCGACGAAATAAAATTATGATTTTAGTATTGGGTCCAGCATTGCGAATTTGAAAAATTTTCGCAAAGAGTGACCTGGAAAGCCCCTCCCGCCCCGACCCAAAGTTTTAATGACATTGCGCTCAACTGTGGAAAATCCATTTTTTGCCGGCTCAACCACTTTTGCGAGATCTAGCTTGCCGGTCGAGAGGTTAATCTGCCTCAGAGGGTTCTCGCGTTCCGTACTGTTTATTCGCGAGAAAACACGCCTGTTATGCGCGAAATTCGGAGATGCGAGTGATATATCGCCGGGTCAAGCTTGGCGGCCTCGACGCGTGCGCCTTTAGCTACGTGCGATACGATTGACATCGGTTATAGACATAATTTCATGGATAATAGTCGCGCGCGATAATTACACCTGGCGCAATAATTCCAGAACGCGGATATATATGCGTTTATTCTGTCATGTATTATGGATACGTTGGCGCATCGTAAACCGAGTGACAACCTCGAGTGAATAATTCTTGCATGCCCTTCAACCGCGATTACGGTGTCTATCGGATGCGGACGTGAAATCGAGATCGTCGCGTCAACGCGACGGCGGAATCAGTCTCGACGGAGGTTATCGCGGAACTTTACTGTGTTCCTCAAATTGCCGCAGGAGAATTCATCGAAGTACGGTAACTCGAAAAAGTTCCTCTTTGCGCTCGTAGGCTCGGGGGATGCTCGAGAGACGGCGATTTGCAAGTTTGTAAAACAGCTTGTGCTGCAGAAATATTTCGGTAAACGGGAGGAATGCGCTATAAGTGGCCGACACGTGGGTTTCCCCTCGTAAAAAGGTTGCTCCACTTTTCGCTCGGCTTGGTTTCTGTATTTATTTCGTCCCTCACCAGTATGGAAACAGCACGAACGAAGTATCGCGCGCGCGCGCGCGCGCGACGTTTGCGGCTAATCCGCGCGAAACAAACGCGCTGCCGAGAGAAAATCTTTCCTGCGGCAGCGCGGGATGT